AAAAAAAAAAAATTATATATATATATATATATATATTAGAATGCCTTGAAAACTGCATTTTGGACCTTGGTCTAATTGTTAAATGACCGTTAAAACCTTGTAAATGTTTCACATGAACATGGTGGTGTTTTTGTGAACAAACAATTGAACTTAATAAAAAGATGCTACTTTAGAAGCAAAATGCACTCGAAATAAGTCAAGTACAAAGATGACAAATTAGAATGACAACAAGACTACCCGACACTGTGTCATCATAGTCCTTGGAAATGTGACACTTCAGCTAGTGATAAAGCAGTCATTATAATACTGAAACATCAACCCCAGCCATCAGCTCAAATCCTGATGTGTGTATAAAACCTGTGCTGACTGACCCCAGGACAGTTTTGAACCCACTCCATCTTTTGTGTGTAACCGACTAGACATCCCTACAGACTAGATATCAGGTCCCACTGGATATCACCACGGCAACAGCTGGAACCCGCCATGGTCTCCTTGGCAACAGAGCAGGGAAGGAGCAACGTGGTGATGAGGAGAAGGTGTAACAGAGAGGCAAGGGCTAATGCGATTGGCTCACATCGACCTCTAGTGTTTTCCAGTCCGATGGTTCTCGCACTCCCTCCCCCGTATCATGTCTTCGTGCCCCTCTACCTTTGTGATTAAAAACACTCCACACCTGCTCCCAGCATCCCTGCTCTTTCATGTTCATCTTTATCAAATGTAGTTTGAAAAAGAGAGCGATCCAAGTAACACTGCATTCGAACATCCAAACAATGAAATAATGCTGCAAAAATATTTATTACTGACTGATATAATCAGCTATTAAACATCCAATATTTCATTTTTTTATTGCCCAGTTTACTGCCTCTCAGTTGCAACGTCTTTTGACTATCTTGTCAATAGATAATGCACATCTTTTGTTTTTAAAATATTTTACATGAATAAGAGTGATTGAATTTGAGTAATGATTAATTGGTCAATTTGAACTTACTGAGTAATTAACAGGAGCATTAGTTCCTCATATAAACTCTACAATCTACTGACAGCCTTCCCTTGTGCAAAAGAACAAATGTAGTTTGAAAAAGAGAGCGATCCAAGTAACACTGCATTCGAACATCCAAACAATGAAATAATGCTGCAAAAATATTTATTACTGACTGATATAATCAGCTATTAAACATCCAATATTTCATTTTTTTATTGCCCAGTTTACTGCCTCTCAGTTGCAACGTCTTTTGACTATCTTGTCAATAGATAAAGCACATCTTTTGTTTTTAAAATATTTTACATGAATAAGAGTGATTGAATTTGAGTAAATAAATGATTAATTGGTCAATTTGAACTTACTGAGTAATTAACAGGAGCATTAGTTCCTCATATAAACTCTACAATCTACTGACAGCCTTCCCTTGTGCAAAAGAAGTGCACTCAATTGTATTGAATGTGTACTTGTAATGTACTTAAAAAAAACATACTATAATATAATATATTAATGACATAAATGGCCACATAAGTGTACTTAAAGAGAGTTTCAAGACTTTGTTTTTTAACATTTAATTACTTTGTAGTCATGTCAAATTAATAATTTTACTTTAAAAGTACATTTTATATAATTGTTTTAATAATCTTTTGTTGTGCTTTAAAGCAGTACACTTATTTTGAGATGTCGACTAACATACTAAAGCACATAAAAACTTGATTTATAATTTAACTGTAGTGTGTTGAATTATAAAATAATATTACATTATAAACTTATTATGAAATTTAAAGTTAATATACATTTTAATGTACTAAATTTCAACATCATTACAAATATGTAATTACAACTATATGTAGATATGACATTCAAGTTTCAGCAGAAATGACATTAAAGTATAGGCTATTGTAGTTTACCATAAATGCTGACAGTAAACGTTAACCATATTTCAAGGACAACAGAATGATGAAATTTTAGTTAAGTGACTGCATTCAGTATAAATTTAAACTAGGTGTCCGAAAACATTTCATTCATTTTGCGCTTAAGTATTCTTATAAAGTATATTATTTCCATAATAAGTACTCTTTTTAAAAATATGCAAAATGTTACATTTTATTTTAAAAGTTGTCAGTGAATAATAAATGTTCTTTTCTCACTGTTTTGGGTGAATTTTCAGTAAATACTGAGAAGATAAGTGTTTATTTGATTGTATGTCTCAGTCATTATTTAGTTTGATTATATGTATAGAAGCATTATATCATATCAGCAACCAAAAGAAAAAGTAATGCACTGGTTGACCACTAGAGTAAATAATGTGTAATAAAATATCAACATTAGCACTGGCTCCTAAAAAACATAGCAGACCACCATAAACTAACACTGATGAAGCTGGTACATCACTGCAGCTGTGAACTGATCATGTAACTCATAATATCTTGTTTGAAAATTCATCACTGCTGTCCCTGTTATATTACTTCACAACCAGTGAACTTAAAAGAAGAACGCCATGCCTGTTTAGCATCTAGAACCTAACCGTAAAGAAACTCAATCTACAGACAGAGGGACCCCCTGCCGCTCACTGACCACCAGCTCTGTTTGCTGTGGTCTCCTTGGTTGCGATTCACAGGACTACGGCCCAGAAAAGAAAAAACAACAGCCATGCAAGGCTACCGACTCGAACAATGTAGCGTAACCTACTTTCACACAAGCATGCCAAACAGCACGCATCATGTACTGCAACAGCGTTTCAAGATGCATTGTTTGATTTTAAACAGCTTCAGTCGGCGTGTGTGTGTGTGTGTGTGTGTCTGGCGTGCGCACGCTGAGCGAGAGAGGGAGGGGAGTTGACGTCACCGGGCTCACGCTCGACATGTGCTCATGCCTCACGTGGACGCAGGAGCAGGCTGAAAGAAAGCGGGCGAGGGAGGGGGAGAGAGCTCGAGAACAGCGCATGCTGAAGAGAGTAGCGTGCGAGCAGGCGGCCCACATTCCCTCGCTTGTGTTTATCGTGTCTTTATAACCATCGCCGGGTTCAGTTTTATAGCTTTTGGTGTCATAACTCAAAGATATATCTTTCATAAACAGGTCACCTTTCTACCCACACTATTATACTAATCGTTGCGGCTTCCGTCTGCAAATTAAATGATCGACCGTGACCTTGGCGCTTTTATGTTAGCTGTATCTACAGTGTTAATGTTCTGATCCGGGTAAAAACGTGGTTGACCACCATATTATCCTAAATTAATTTGAGTTCATTTAATTTTCTAAATTAATTAATGCAAACTGTTATTTAAAACAGAGTAATTCAAATAAATCAAGGTTTTCATATGCTCAAATTGCCATTTTTAACATTAGCTGTTGAACATCAGTCAAAGAAAAACCAGATGGATAGAGAAACAGCCAAGTGGAAAAAATAAAGTACACCTCTTGAAAAGAACGGGGGAAGAGGGTAAGGGTAAGGAAAAGATATAATGAGCGCACACAGAGAATATTTCGACCCAGGATGTTTTGGCAGATGCATATGACACAATTCTGCCAGTAAAGTATGTGTGGAGAAGTGTATGTGGGTGGGAGGGTGAGAACGAGAATAGAGAAGGAGAAAACGCACTATAAAACCCCATCTTGTGACCTATTCCCAACACATTTTCCGTTGTTATTCTACTGTTGTTATTCATTATTACCATACAATATCCTTTAGGAATAAATTATGTTATAATTATTTTTTATGAATTCATGTTGGCATCTAACTAATATAGTTCAGAGGAAAAACATTCCTACATCAAACGCCATCCTCACATTCAAACATTAACTTTTACAAGCAGACGTAACAGTCCACACCAGTTATACTACAAATGGAATATGGATGGATGTGTGTTTCTAGGTGAATCTCATAAAAACATTTTTTTCATCAAAATAAAAACATCAAACATTTAACTTCAGAAATCAAAAAAGAAAAAACAATTTGAATATTCTTAAATGTCCCAAAAATAGACTTCTTTTATATGCAAAATATATTGATTATATTATTACAATATTATTTATTTTAGAAGCTTCTATTGGATGCACGTCATCAAACACTCGTTTCATAGCACTTATATCCAATCCCATTACCTGGATGTAGCGGAGAGCACTCCTCAAGACACTCAGATTGGAAGTTTTCTTTTCATCCACATTAGGAACGTTCTTCTTGAGGGTCTCAAAACATTCTTTCAGATGTGCTCGTCTGTGACAGAAAGAAAAGCACTTATCGTTCCGTTTCTTATGTTTTGTGCAAAGCAAGTGAGAGTTTCAACAGATGTTTAGGCAAAGCATTTTGGTGGTGGAAGTAACAGCAATGAAGAAGTCAAAAGGCAATTGCTTTGTAATATCATATTTGTTACTGTGGTTACTAGTAGGGCAAAGGCCTTCTAGCCAGAAAAAACAAATAGTGCACTAATTGCAAAGTGACAACAGTTAATGTGTCTGTGATCAGTCCAGCAACCATACAACTTACATTAAGGCTACTCAATGAATTTACAGTATCTGACAGAAGTGAGTACACCCCTCACATTTTTGTAAATATTTTATTATATCTTTTCATGTGACAACACTGAAGAAATGACACTTTGCTACAATGTAAAGTAGTGAGTGTACAGCTTGTATAACAGTGTAAATTTGCTGTCCCCTCAAAATAACTCAACACACAGCCATTAATGTCTAAACCACTGGCCACAAAAGTGAGTCCTGTTCTGAGTGGAACCTGTCCTGTTAAACCGCTGTATGGTCTTGGCCACCGTGCTGCAGCTCAGTTGCAGGGTTTTGGCAATCTTCTTATAGCCTATGCCATTTTTATGTAGAGCAACAATCCTTTTTTTCAGATCCTCAGAGAGTTCTTTGCCAAGAGGTGCCATGTTGAACTTCCAGTGACAAGTATGAGAGAGTGAGAGCGATAACACCAAATTTAACACACCTGCTCCCCATTCACACCTGAGACCTTGTAACACTAATGAGTCACATGACACCGGGGAGAGAAAATGGCTAATTGGGCCCAATTTGGAAATTTTCACTTAGGGGTGTACTCACTTTTATGGCCAGTGGTTTAGACATTAATGGCTGTGTGTTGAGTTATTTTGAGGGGACAGCAAATTTACACTGTTATACAAGCTGTACACTCACTACTTTACATTGTAGCAAAGTGTCATTTCTTCAGTGTTGTCTCATGAAAAGATATAATAAAATATTTACAAAAATGTGAGGGGTGTACTCACTTCTGTGAGATACTGTATATGCTCAGCTTCTGTTTGTCAAAATAAATAAACACAAAAATGCAAACAGAAGTTAACCCACCTGTTCTTTTCCAGCTTGTTGTGAACTTCTCGAGTTCCAGCCCTGCGGGAAAAATAAGTTCGTAAGTAAGCAAATAAGTATGTTGCAAATAAGTAGTTTACTGTAAAAAAAAATACGGTCACCGATCAATCTCATGTTATTTCAAACATTTTTTTCTTGTAGGCAACACAAAAGGAAAAATTTTTCATGCAGCTCTTACACAAACACTGACACCAAACACTGAGCAGGGGTTGTTCAAGCTCTGAAAAAACAAAAGATATAAAATTACGCAATAAACACTGCATAAAAAAACTCTAGGCTTGCTGTGCTAGGGCTGCACAATTCATTCAAAAATTCTAATAACCAAAAATATTAAACAAATTAATAATATAAAAATAGAGTTTACATTTATGTCTTTATTTCTTCCTTTTCAAATATTAATCCATCAAGCTTTTATTTTGGCGGAAAAAGCAAAAAAGCTTAAAGCATCTCTTTTGTTGACAACAGCCAGTTTATAAGCACTTCTCATTACAGTTTTGGAAAAATGGTTGGTGCATGGTGCGTTCTCAAAAGCACGTTATAAGCGAAGCAAACTTTGTGAACCGAGCCTCTCTGAGACACTAAAAACACTGGATCATGAGCTGCTTGCAAGCAAAAGAACACAGCGCCACACTTCATTCTGAAACATGCAGCACATATATGTATTTCATTAAATCTCACTAAGCCATATTGTGATTTCAGTTTTGTTTCGGTGATTCATACAGTTCATTCTCAATGACAGCTTTCAAAACTCAATCGGACTTTAAACTTTAAACTAAACGAGCCCCGATCGGTGACAAGAAGATCAACGTGTCTTGATTATTCATATTTTAAAATATGTAAATGATATTTAATGCTGCAACAGTTCTCAGCAAATATTCTCACATGATTGGAAGGAGTCAAAGAAACTACTTTTAGGGTGCTTTTTTGCTTTTTTTAACATCCTTGCGTTGTATGGAAAAGAGCAGCATGAACGTTCTCGAAATATCTCCTTTTGTGTTCCACATAAAACAAAGTCATGTGTGTTTAGAACAGTGTTTCCCAACCTTTTTTTTTTTTTTTTTAGCCACGGCACAGTTTTGATAAGTAAAGAATCCCACTGCACACCACTAAGCACTGAAATACAGCAAAATTGCACAAACATGCATTGCTTCAAATGGCATATTAAAACTGGATAATTTATTAAAAGTAGTACTCACATTTAAGGTGAAACTTGAGCTTAAGTCAGGAAGGAACACAAGGTCACAGGTAGCTTTATGTTGTTGGTGATGATAAAACAACAAATTTACATATCATCACTGTCGGGAGGAAACCTTGTATGTCCAAAACCACTACCACTTTCAGGAAATGTAAAAAAAAATCTTTTTTAAAAAAAATATATATATATTTTTTAATAATTAAACACTGCATCGTATTGTGGCTTTATATATGATCAGACACGTGCATGTTCCATTATAATATTAACATTTTATGAAAATCAAGCTCAAATGGAGTTACGAGGTTTTTGACCAGCGAATGGTGTTGATCTGTGTTTTGTCCGTCATTAGAATGGCCGCATCATCAACTTACAGGTTATAAAGTTTATTGTAGCTATATGGGCGCTCAGTTTTTTGTTGTTGAATACATTTGGCCAAAATCTCATGATTTTAAAAGATGAAGCGCTATGCACAGGATATATAGGCTAAAACAGTTACATTAGCTACACCTAGATGGCAAATGCTAAGACTCATCTCCACTCTTCAAACACACAAAAAGCATTAGCCTTCATAGACAGTGTTTTTTGAGTAAAGAAAATCCTGTACTTATTCAAACATCAGTTCTTTATTTAACCTTGCATCAGCGTATGAGCACTTCATTCTGACTGGATGGAGCTATGAGGTTTGGGTGACAGCTTGAATGGCGTTACGAGGTTTAGTCACAAGCTCTTCTGAATGCTTTTCATTGGTTAATTATTTGCAAAACAGATGTAAAGATGACCAATAGCACTGATTTAAAATAATAACACAATAGAGATAGAAAGTTCTGATCATTTTACACAGCACACCTGACAACCTGTCATGGCACACTAGTGTGCCGTGGCACAGTGGTTGGGAAACACTGGTTTAGAACGACATGAGGATGAGTATATCAGAAATCACTCATTTAGTTTGCAACCTACAAACACACACAGCATGACCTGAGGGGCAGCGTTCTTTCTCATCATGGGTCACCGTACAGGACAGCAGCCTACTTTTTAAAAATTGCAATCTCATAACAAAATAGCCAACCCAGTTTCAAGTGTGCGTCCTACAGTTTAATCTCCTCCACTTTCTTGTATATAGCCAAAAAACACGGCTCACCCTCCAGGTCTCCTTTTGCCATCTAGGTTGACCGGCTCTTCCACGACAACTCCGTTAGGCCTGGGCGGTTGGCCTGCCTGACCCTGGGCTGGTGCGGGCTGAGGTTGGGGTAGTGCTGGCTGGGGCAAGAGGGCGTGTTGCTGTGGTGGATGCTGGGCTGTGATGATGGGGGCTGGATACGGTTGCAGCAGCGCCTGCGTCTGTTGCAGCTGTGGCTGTGGCTGCGGCTTGGGACTGTTATTCGATGGAGGCAAGATGGTAGCTTCTGCTTTTATGTGTGCGATCAAGTGACGATGTTGCTGCTGCTGCTGCTGTGGAGGGGAATGGGCGTCCTTGCCATTAGGGCTGAGGAGGGGGGCTGCTGGTGGGGACAGGGCTGTGGCCAAGGGTGTGACCACTGGCATTGAGGAGGCTGTGTGAAGGGTCGAAGCAGTCTGAATGGGAGGGGCCGCAGGGTTGGCTGGGACCACCGGGATAGGAATGACAGCTACCGGAGGGTGGTGCTGGTGGTGGCGGTGTGGCTCGAGCCGCATGTCGTCGACCCAGGTCACATGGTTAATTTGGACAGACTGGATAACAGGGGTGGAGAGCTTCTGCTCAGCCTCACGGGATAGCAAGGCCTTCTCTCGCCGCTCCTCCTCCACTGTAGAAAATAAAAAGATCGAAATTATTGTTATGCACAAAGAAAGACGAAATGAAGGCTAAAACTTGGATATACTATTTGAGAATAATACACTGTATCTCGAATTATGTAAACTTTGGGATGTTGTATAAAAATGCTGTACGGAAACACCAAAATGTGAATACATATTCCAAAATGTGCAAGAAAAAAAAAAGTATACATTTGCTTGCAGTGGACACGTATTTAATAAACTACTGGAAACACATTTACAGAATAAATTCCCAGATGATCACAAAAAAAATGGCATGTGAAAAAAATGTATTCACTCATGACTGGTTGCTTTTACCCCTTAGAACTGTCTGAAGATTGTGCAAACAAAAATGCTCTGACATTCTAAACCACAATTCATTTACTGCATTTAATAAAAAGCCTACAGCTTCTGTTTCCATTTATATTTTGCAGTTTCCTAACACATGGGATGGAATCGCTGCTTGATCCGCAAATAGTTTTGCGGTATTCTCATTTGTTGCATAAATTAAATTTGCAGCTTGAATGGAAACTGTTATTATCTTTTTTTTTTCATACTCACTTGAGATTCTAATTAGAAAGAGACAGAATCACTGCTTGATCCGCACATAGTTTTTGTGGTATTCTGATTTCTTGCATAAATTAAATTTGCAGCTTTAATGGAAACACTGTTGTTATTTTTTTTTCTTGACTCTCACTGGAGATTCTGATTTCTTGCCTAAATTCACAGCTTGAATGGAAACAGTTAAGGCCCCGATATACTTAAAGCAAAATCAAAGAACAAACTGGTGTGACGTCATTTTGAACAAAATCAAGCTAAAACTAAATTAGTTTAGAGTTGTCAGAAGTTCGAAATAGCTTGCCAAAGCAAACTTTATTAACTTTATTCACCAGGCTTATTAGTAATTATTAGCCAATTTCAGCTTTTTCCAATTACCAAAAAGCCTTTGTGTCAGTTCAAAAATATACGACACCCATGCTAATATTATATCAAAAACTATTTCTAATTTTTAGTGATTTGAGTAAATATATTGTATGAAATACTTCTACACAAAATTGCTGAAATTAAAGAAAATCTAATTTGATGTGATCAAATGTATCGTGTCAAACCCTGGTGTGGGCCATTGAAAAAAAAAAAACAATTACTTTTGTCCTTAAGAATGTAACAGACTGCTTTTCTGCAATAATCACTGACTGTCATAATAAAAACAAAATGTTTTTCTCCGGGTCTCGTCTTGCAGTCATTAATTTTCCTCAGACTGAAATATATTTTATGAAATTCACATTCATGTTTCTCTGATGTGGTTGCCTGATTCATTAATAGCCTGCACAAATATGCACAAATTTCAAAGGGCGATTTACCATTTACTATCCAGATATATGGCATAGCTCTGTGTAAAAAAATACATTTGTGAAAGAAGAGCAAACTAAACTATAGCTATAACTAATGAATATCAGCAGCAATACTACAGATTAATACCAATTTATAGATCAGTAATGGAACTAATTAGTGCTTGTCTAGGCTCTGACTAAGAAGCGCTCGTGGCTGTGAAGTGTAAATTATTAATGAGAAGCTGCAGACTAACAGAGTAATTTAATACATCAAGACAGTGTGTGAAATTCATATAACAGGGCTCAAAACCTGTGGTGTAGCTATAGTTTTCAATTTAAAAAAGAAAAGTAGGGAGCAGTAAATCATGACTCCATGTCCAAATTAGGGTGGGGTGTGAGCTAGCTGTCCTGGATGGTCTGTCTCTTTAAGAGAGAAGCCCCAGTAAGAGTCTTGCCTAGTCTCCAGCTCTACACTGACGTCACACAGAAGTCTGCATGAAAAGCCAAGAGCTGGCGTGGGGAATCTGAGACCGTGCCGTACCATCTATAGGCTAAAGTGCCCCCACCATTCGATGATTTCCATGATTGATGGACAGACCTATTGTTTAGCCCGTCGATCCATATTCAGTTCCAGCTGTCCAAAGTGTCTTTGAGCCAAAACTGTCATTCCTGTGCAGGAGAAGCTGCATCTTGCGAATGCGAGCACGCCGCAGACAAAGGGGTGACCTGATGCAAAGCGTTCCTGCACAGTTCAAACCACAACATGCGGGAATCTTCCTGCATCAGCAGGAAGAATGATATTGATTGTGAAACACGTTCTCAGAAGCCTTCAAAACGAAAGAATGCTGAGATCAATATGTTCAGTCCTTGCATATTTCTCCATTACATAACAGAAGATAAATACAAACCGAAATGCCGTTTCTCTTGACATTTACATGCGTACAAAGAAATGAATAGCATGTTAGGAATGGAATCACAAACACTAATGTGTCATCGTGCAAACATAACACAGCCAGGCTAATAAGTTCTGAAAAGCTCATGAGAGCGCCATCAATTGCTCTCTGTAAATACGCATGTAAAGCTCTTAAGACTTCACTTAGGACACAGATAGGATATACCAGGGATCCTCAAATCTGGCCCACGAGATCCACTTTCCTGCAGAGTTTAGCTCTAACCCTAATCAAACACACCTGAGCATGCTAATCAATGTCTTCAGGATCATTAGAAAATCACAGGTAGCTGAGTTTGATCAGGGTTGGAGCTAAACTCTGCAGAGCATTTGAGGAACCCTGGGATATACTATGGTGGTCCATAGGCTTTAAGAGTGTGCATTATGAACATGGCACTGTGTAAAAGGGACAAAGGAAACTTCTAAAGGAACCTTTCAAAATTACATTCCATTTTCAAAGGCTAATGTGGAAATCACGACCAAATATTCTGAAACAAACTAGACCAGAACAGCGCAAAGAGGCTTTGTATCAATTGCAATGAACTGTACTTGCATAAAAATCACTGACTAATTCATTATGAACAATAAAATCAAATGCAAACATGACATTTCATTTAACAACAAACTAACCCATTTATGACTGTGTGGGTCTGGACAACTAGTTAAGAACCTTTCACGTCTTCTTTAACACTCAATATTAATATATTTCAGACACTAGTTCAAATACAAAGTCCACAGAGCTCAGACAGTAAGTGAAAGCGTAACCAGGTTTGATGGTATAAAAACTGAAAGGAAATTCTCTTTGTTGTTATGCAATAAATAGCTTTTTTTAAATGTATTTTTAAATAAATTTAGGGTATCATTCTCATCCCCTTTAACATAAAGCCTCACAAACAGTTTTTAATACCGCACATTTGAGCTTACATGTAATTTTATTGATCTAGTACATGGTCAAAGATTGTGTAAGTGTATGCAAAGTTTGCATATTTGAATAGAACCTTTAAAGAGAAAGACCTTGCAGAGATGTTCAAAAATATGCCAACTGCACTTATTGTTCTACAGCCTTTTTAACTGTATGCCAAAAAATTAAACAGTCTCCAAAAGAGTAAATCAGTATGTCAAGCTTTTACTTGGAGATGCATGAAAAATGCACATTATATAACTTCTGCATTGAGGGAGGGTGGCGTTGCCCTATTTTCTCCCCAGTTGTGACCTGGGAGAGAGGGAGAGGGAGTGGGGAGTTGGTGTCTGGCGCGCACGTGTTTGAAGAGGGCGGACTTTCAGCACGCGGTATTTGCTGTGGGTGTGGCTTTACTGACACGTCCCCTCGAGAATGAAACAAAAAGCCCCCCCGCTCTGTTTAAAGCGAAAAATAAAACGCCAGTTAAACCTTACATTGTCTGTTTTATGGAGTTTATGGAAAACAAACAAAAAAGAGATTAAGCAGCTAATAACGAAGAAGTGTGATGGGAAAAGTAGGCTGGTCTTGAAAGTCATAAGTGAGATAACCACTCGGCAATGTCATAATGTAAAAAAAAAAAAAAACATTGCCACCGCCCAACGGATAGGAAACACGACGTACTCTACTTTTAGCTAACCTGCTTATAAATTAATTGGTGGGTAAAAATGGTTATTAAAATTGTAAGAATTCTACCCAGCCAATATAAATGCAAAAACGTGTAACTTAATGTGTCTGACAAAAATACGACGCGCCATATACTAGGATCTGTCGGGGTAAATGTTCCCACCCACCGCTGCGCTACTGAGCGAGTATAGTAGCACACTAAATATAGCATGGATTTAACCCGGAAACCGAGTGAGCGAAATATGCCCTAGTCACGAAGACTGCACCCTACAAACAGTGCAAACCCTTGGACATTACCACTGAGACAAAGAGCTCTTGTTCGCAATGCTTATAATAAAAGGCTGATTTGCAGTTTTTTTTTTATTTTTAAAGAAAATATAACTGTTATTTATCTTGAAGTGTGCCGGTATGAAAATACAATTTGCTGGGTAAAATCCCAAATCAGTTCATACATATCTAATTGATCCTGTAGATCTGTGCAATCACCCAGTTCCCCCCCGCCCCGCCTCGCCTTACCACGTGTAATCTGTTGTTGCTGGGCTTGCCACTCCAAATACCTGGCCGCTTCCAATAGAGTATCGATACTCATTTTGAACACCGATACAATACGTTCCCGTTAAAAATTTATGCAAGCCCCCGGTACAGATATATGTGGTGGGTTAAATCACAGTATAATCCACTGGCTTCCAAAGACAGTCATAAGACATCCAGGGCGCTCCCGAAATTCATCAGAAACACATTACTTCACTGGCAACAAGATGGCGATTGGAGTAACAGAAAATACAACAAGTCGAAAGGCATACCTTTCAAGGTCCGCCCTCGCCAGAGCTACTCCTCCCTCATACTACCAGTGATTAAAAAGTAGGGCAGAACACGCTGTCACGCTAAGCGGTAGGATCGGGAATCTATACCGAACGTAATCTCACAAATGAGATCGAAATGTATATATAAAGGATCAAGACTTCAGGGAGAGATTTATATGGCACGACAGACGCTGTTTAAATGTGTTTTCGGTCGCTTATTAGTGCATAAAATAAGGAAATAGTGTGAAACGTCTACGGAATCCATGTACCGGGTTTTCGCGGTAGCCCTACCCTGCAGTACATTAGCACATGATTAAAACATGTCGATGAGAGGGAACCAATGGGCGTGGAGAACAACAAGGCATGGTGTCTGTCCACATGGGCAGCCGCTAAAGGCTGAGCGCGGCTCATTTGCATGGCGAGACCGCGTATGGCAAGCCGTGTTACATTTATTCCTCTTAGCCTCTCTATTTTTGTTGCTAGGACTTGTTTAATTGCTAGAAAGTAAAACTAGTATTTTAAATTTCACTAGTGACTACTCCTTCGCTAGCAGTCACTATCTCAATGGTAACAAAATGCAGTTTGTGACATTTAATTCTATGAGGATGTGCTTCAGATATCAACCGTTCACTTCTGACTAGTATGTAGTTCAATTGTTGTTATGTATTCCAATTTTATTCCATGGTCTGTCTGAATACTGGATTCTGATTGGCTGGTCAGCAACGAGGTGCTACATTATATTCCCCAGCAACGAGGTGGTAAAATCGCTGTTTTTGAAGTAATTGTTTGTACAGAGAGACGCGCAGACGCAGCACGCAGGTACACACAGCTGTCATCTCTCTCTGTCTCTCTCTCTCTCTGTCTCTCTCTCTCAAACGATCGTTCGATAATTAATTAAAATACATGCTATAATTCATTCAAATAAATGTGGTCTTACAGCACTATTTCATCTCTGTGTATGATTTGAAGCGGGCAGAATGCTAGCGCTAACGTGCCGTAACTGACGAAAATAACTGTCATTTTTACCCATTCGGTCAAATATTGTGCTGCAAAGAGCAATACTAGTTTTAACTTGTCTATAACTTGGCAAATGACCATGGAATAAGCGGGATAATCAACGGCTAGCCATGCATTAAAGCATTTGAAATGCACTTCAACCTCCGCTTCGCGTCGGGTGGTTCTGGACGCGTCGTGCATTTAAAATCCTTTAATGCACGACTAGCCGTTGATTATCCCTTACTTATTCATTAGCTACTATACTTATTTCTTAGTTATCAGTAACGCCACTAGTTTTTAGTATATCCTTTGAACTTTTTCTATCCACTTGTTTCTAGTAACATTTCTTGTCTCACTAGTTAGAATCAGATTTTTTAAAATGGTCGTATGTACTAGTTGAAATGACTACTTCATAGTTCAATTAAAAATGTTGCAAGAAATTAAAATGTTACACTTTCTAATTGATGTTTTTATTCAGTTAGTACTGGAAACAACTAGTTGCTATTGCAATAAGTACTAGAAAAAGTAGTTAACTGAAAGAGATACTAGTCACTATTGTATTACTACTACTAATTAAGAAAAATATGTACTAGTAACAAAATATATACTGGTTTTATCTTTGAGGAAGACATGTTTAACCAGCTTGCCATAGAGCGTGCGCCTGCCTCGCTGTCTTTGTACCTGCCAATCATCCTGAACGAGTGTCGAAATGGCCACGCCCAGATCGTGGTTTAGCTTTTGGGTAGACAATGTTCTCACTGTATACTGACGGAAACAAAACGCTAGAATCTCTACGAAGAATGCGAATGTATTCTTCTTTGTATTTGCATGCGGTAGTCCTGTACCAGCAGGTTTGTCTGATTAGTTTAGTATATCCTGCAAGTAGGCTAATAAAAGTTCTTAAGCAAACGAGGGCGCGGAACAGACGCAGTCGTTACTGTCACATTCAGCTGATTTAGTTTTTTCACGCCAGCTCTGTTAAACGGAATGAACAAATTAGTTTTTTTTTTCAATAGGCCTAATTCTGAACATTTATAAAGTAATGTAAAAAAAGTAACATCTCTGAACGAGCAAAAACTTTCGTTATACGCAAGTATGCAGACGCTTCTGAAACTTGACACTTCATTCACATCTGGAAAGCTGTTCAGTAGCCTGCTTAAACATAATTATTTAAATAATATTTCATTTAAATAACACAACGTCTTATACATTCAAAAACTTAGTATCATTGCTTTAATTATTAATATATTACTCAAGACTCCCAAGATTTTTAAACATAACATCATGAATACTTCCAAGTTACTGCACGATGAAAGGACCTCTTTCTATCTTAGATGGCCTGAATCCAGAATTTAGCCAGTTGAAATGATAATCCACAATATATTTATATATTTCACAATATAAAGACTTTTACATTTTTTTACTATTTTATTATTCATTATTGTGAAGAAGCAGCTTGTTTTTATGGTGCTGTGGCTGGTGTCATGCTGCCATCTCTATGAATGAGCACTTGCATGGCAACAGACTGTGATTGGCTGATTTGTAGGGATACCCTAAATGACTAGCACAGTCAGAGCCTCTCCTCCAATCAGCACTGAGCTCAGAGCTGCGTCAAACATAATACACACACATACAAATACACACATACATAGACAGTCAACGTTAAGTGCATGCCTGTGTATGCAAAGCGCAGGCAGATGCCAACACATGCAGCTCATGTAATAGACAGCACAAACTTTACTAACCATACTCAGTATGCAGCACAGATAGTCTGCAGTCTGACTGCCATTCACAGCCCCTCCCAGTGACTTATTACTGTTGAGATGCAGTGTTGGGGAAAGTTACTTTTAAAAGTAATGCATTACAATATTGCGTTACTCCATAAAAAGTAACTAATTACGGTACTTAGTTACTTTTTATGGAAAGTAATGCGTTACGTTACTTTTGCGTTACTTTTAAAATCTGGACAGGGCTTGCTTGTTTGTTTTTAAAATAAAAAAGTTCTATTTTTGGCAAATATAAAAGCCTTTTCACACCAAAAGTGAAATGAATAAGCCTCAGGCTGACGGGAAAGTAAATTTACGTCCGTACAGTAGAATACAGAAGAAGACATTTCAACAAACTTCAGCAATAAAAACGACACACAAATGTTTGTCTAGAGTAATTTGTGCTTATTCGTACAGTTGAACTGGATCATCGAAGGTCAGAAACAAAGACATTGGTTAATAGAATGTGGTTAAATACATAAAGGATATTTGTGTTGTTTAACATTTAATTATTGCAGGTTTGCGTCATATTCTGTTACATTATTTTTATTCATTTTGAGGAATACTGAATCTGTGTGTTTTTTTTGTGAGTGAAATGGATGAATGCATATTCATATTTATTTTAGAACTAATCTGATTTAATCTGATAACATCTGATTTCTCTCAACATGGGCA